AGACTACACAGAAATTGCTTAGCAGGGCAATGAAGTTAAAAGTGCCTTAATCTGTGTTGAGTTAGCAAGTGATCATCTTTATTAGATGTACTTAGGTCAACAAAAATAAATACTTCCAAAGAAGCTTTGACTCACAGTTTGTATGTGTGTGTGCCAGTCCTCAGGTGTTTTTTTTTTTTAATTTTATTGTCAAGGAGATGTTCAGAGGGGTTACAGTTACACAGTAAGGTAGTGAGTATATTTCTTATCTAACTTGTTAGCCCTCCCTCATTTTTCTCCTTCTTTCCTTCCCCTCTCCAATCCCCAATCTCCCAGTCCTCAGGTTTAAACTCAGGGCCTGAGCATTGTGCCTGAGGCTAGCACACTACCACTTGAGCCACAGGTTCACATTTGGGTGGTTCACTGGAGTTAAGAGTCTCAAAGATTTCTCTGCCTTGGCTGGCTTCGAACTGCAATCCTCAGATCTCAGACTCTGAGTAGCTAGGATTATGGGCATGAGCCACCTGCATCCAGTTCACACTTTTTACATGATTGAGAAATATCAGTGTCTTCAATCTAGTGATATTAGTGGAAATAGCAATGGATTTGGAAGCAAATGCTACTGGTCAAAAACTCTTCATCAAAGGAATCTCAGCACCACCATTGCCTAATACAAAGATGAGGTTATAGTTTGAATATGAAACGTCCTCCACAGGTTCATGTGCAAAGACATTGGTTCCCAGCTGTTAGAACTAGTTTTTGGAAAAGATAGAAATTTTAGGAGGACTAGCCAGAGGAGGTAGGTCACAAGGGGACATGCCTTTGAAGGTTAGACTTCATCCCTGGCCCTTCCTCTCCCTACTTCCTGGCCACCCCGAGGTGAGTAGACTCTGCCAAACTCTTCTACCACTATGATGTACTGCCTCACTATAAGCCTGGAAACAAGGAGCTACGCAACCGTAGATTGAATCCTCTGAAACTGCATGCCAAAATCAATCCTTTCTCCCTCAAGTTGTTTTGCTCAAGTATTTTGTCACAGACATGCAAAAGAATAATGCAGATGGTGAATCCAGACTCGTTGTCAACATGAAAAATGCTTTATCAGTCATTTCTAAAAAGTACTTTTAAAATGTTATGTTTCAATTTGAAATCTGGATGTGTTTTTATAGTCAACAGTATAATTTAAATCAGAAACACCCATTTCATATAGCAAAAAATGGTGCAACATGTGCTGACCTAAAATCATCATCATCATCATCATAATGAGTTTGGGTTTATCCTCTCAACCAAAAAAAGCAATGGGAGAAAGGCTGGAGTGGACTCTTGTGGCTCTTTCATGTATTTCATTCATTCTTTCTTTGGTAACAGGACCCAATTCCAGCCTGGCCCACCAGAGTTCTTCTAGTATCTTAGAGGAGACGTTATCCTTCTCTTGGAGCTCTTAACGGGGAGCCTATAGGAAGGATAGCATAAGTATTGACCATGTAGAGCAGTTCTGCTTGGAGCTTTCCATTCTGTGAAGTGTGCCTGTATTGATTCCACCTGAGACTGTGCATTTTTGTCCTGTCTAAATTAGCTCAAGCTGTCTTTGGAACCGATACAAACTCTACTTTAAACCATCCTTTAGCTTAATCACTCTTTTTGAAAGTTATTTGTAGCAAACAATTCAAGTTTGAGATGTTGCAGGGTGAAATTCATATTGTGTGTTATTGACTAAAAAGTGATCATTAGATTGCTAAGTTGGTTAAAAAGCCATGACATGGATTCCCAGTTAATAAGCTGAATCAGAGGTACATAGAGACCACTTTGGATTGATCTGAAGTTTTCAACAGCTACCAAAAGGGCCTGCCAATGATGTCTGTGCCACAGAACCTGGAAGAACCTAAGGCCTGGTGATTCTGAAGATGGACCATTGCTAGCTGTTTTAGATGGCCATAGTTAATAAGCGTCTATGTTTCTGATAGCATATGTCCAGCTGGTTGCAAATGCTGATCCCAGGAAGGATCAGCATTTAAGTATTTGCTACAACAGGAAAACATGCATCTAGTTGACCTAAAGCTTATACCGCATTATTGAGGCATTAAAGAGGAGGTTCTTGACCTTCTTGATTTATGCTTTTAAAATCGAAATTTGCTTAGATCAAAAAGGCAATTTCCATCTGCCCCAATTTTGGCCTAATTAAGGCTTTCAGGAATTCTAACCATTTAGAATTGGCATTAGCCCATTGTTAATTCTTCCTCCTAAATTAGAGTCTAGGGAGAACCTCGTGCAAGGGGGTAGAGTCCTAAATCACTGAACAAGGGTCTTGCTAAAGTTGAATATTATAAGGATCCTACAAACTGCTATAGTTTGGATATGCCCTCCAAAAGTGTTTGCATCAGAAGTTTAAATTTTTTCAATGCATTGTCAGAAGGCATGTCTAGCAGAACGTTTGGATCATGGAAGGAGAGCCCTCATTACTATATTGCTGCCTTTCTCCAGTGAGTGAGCTGTGATCTAGCAGGACTAGGGTTGGGGAAGAGGGTGGGAGATAATTGCTTTTGCCCTCCCTTTCCCTGGAAGCTGATGCCATGCTCTTGGGCTTTCTAGTCTCCAGGATTATGATCTCAAATAAACTTTTTTCCCTCCATAAATTATCTTATCCAGTCTCACAGATTTGTGACAGCAAAAGAAAGTGGACTAAGATATGTAGGCCAACACAACTCTGAGAATAAAAAATGCTTATTATTAAAAATGGTGGTTGCTCCCAAACCATTTTCATCACTGATCTGAATTCTCCGTCATGGGCTATGAAATCATTCTCAGAGAACTTTTCAAAAGCTACTTATGGAAGGCTTTTATTAAAAGGCATTTTCTTAACAGGCCAGGTATTTTTATTGCAAGAAGTCAGACTCTCAGATACTCCTGTTTCCCCATAATATAATCAGTTATGCCAAGGTCAGCTTTTAGGGAACATCCACAGGCCTTCTTCATGACCAATTTAATTGCCAAGAGCAAGTTATTGGCTGGGGCTGGGCTGGGGCTCACATTGTGTGGCTCTGGCCTAGCCTGTGAAGACTCTGGGTTCAGTCCTATGAACTGGGGAGGGAGTGCGGGAAGGCTGAACATAGTTTCTCTCTGGGACTCTCAGAATCCTTACTTCCGAAAACAAAAACAATTCTTCAAGCTGACTTACTTATTTTTTAAACTCTGGGCCTGGGTGCTGTCCCTGAGCTCTTCAGCTCAAGGCTAGTGATTTACCACTTGATCCACTGCGCCACTTCAGGTTTCTAGTGGTTTATTGGAGGTAAGAGTCTCTTGGACTTTCCTGCCTGGGCTGGCTTTGAACCACATCCTCAGATCTCAGCCTCCTGAGTAGCTAGGATTTCAGGTGTGAGCCCTGGCACTCGGCCCAGCTGATTTATTTTTTTAAGCAGGAAAAAAGAATGACCGTGGGCCTTTTATCTGTGTTTTTCTTCTAAACCTTTGTTGGTTCAAATCAGATCTCCACTTCTTGCTAGCTGTGTGACTTCTGTATGCCTTGTCACCTGTCTGATAGGATTTCCTCATTTGTGAGGCCTTCTTAACACAGGCAGAGCTCAAAAACACCATCTTTTGTATTTACCTGGCCTGAAGGCGCAGTTCCTACTGGTATACCTCACTGGTGAGCGGGGATCAGTCCTTTCACGAGAGCCCCTTCCCGCGCGCGTGTACTGAAAGAACCGCACTAAGCACCGTTTGCCTCCGGGTTCGAGTCCCTCTGGCTTCGCTTCTGCAGGAAGCGCCCCCATTTCGAGCGCCCCGGCGCTGGGGAAGGACACTCGAGTGGGCTGGGGGGTGGGGGAGGCGGGGAGCTGGGCTGGGGTCCTGGGGGCGCGCGCCCGGATCCCTCCGGCGTTGGCGGCTCCAGCCTCCGCCCCGTGGGCCGGGCGGGCTCGGCAGTGCGTGCGCCGGGGAGGGTGGTGGCGACAGGCACCCGCCCTTGGCGGCGGCCCCGGAGTGTCAGGTGCCGTGAGAAGCGCGCGCGGGAGGGGCGGCCGCGAGCAGCGCCCAGGGAGATGACGGGAGCCGACTTCCCAGAAGCGGTGCACGCAAGGCACAGCTCCGCACGCAAGGGGGAGGTGACCGCGGGAGAAACCTAGCCCGGGGCTAAAGTTCGTGGGCGTGGGGAGGGGTGCCGCCCCCGCCCCGCCCCCGCGGCTCGCCCGTCTCCCTGCCCCCCCCACGTCGGGTCCTCACTCCTGCTTGGCTCCCCGCCCTGCACCCTCGGGCTGGACGCGGCCAGGGCCACTCGGCCTTCAGCACTAGGCGTCGTCCCCGCCCCCCCCCCGAGTCCATTCTACGCGGGAAACCCGGGGCGCCCTGCGAGGTGGCCGGGCTTTGTGTGCCCAAAGATGATCCAGGACCCAGATCGCGTCTCCCCCGCCCTCTCCACCCCGCCCAGGTTTTCCTGATCTCTCCACCAGAGGCCGGATGAGAAGTTTGCCATGCCAAGTCTAGACCTCCGCGGAGTTTGTTTGCGAGAACTTAAGATTTATTATTATCTTTTAAAATAATAAGCAGGCAAGGCCACCGCCACCACTTGTGGCTGTCCCCGGCTCCCAGAGGGTCAGATTACCTTCCCTGGCCCCAGCAGGCACTGCGTGTCTGGGAAAACCAAGCTCCAGTCACCGAAGGGGGAGCGCAGGGACGTCCTCCCGGGGCGGGGCGCGCAGGGACAGACCTGGGCAGGTTGGGTCCCCCAGCGCGTCCTAGGGGAACCGGGAGGCCTCAGCGGAGCGGGGCTGGATGCCGAGCCCTCACCCAACAAACGGAAAAGTGCTCGGGGCGACCCCGGGCCAAGTCACCTGGCGGCTGCAGGGCGCCGGGCGGATTCGCCTCCAGACCACGCTGGGCCCACCCCCTGACGCCCCCCCACCCCCCGCCCGCCCGAGCCCCGTGGAGTGGACAGTGGCGGCGCGCCCCGCCCCCTCAGGCCCCACCCCCGCCACATCCCGCTCCCTCGGGTCTCCACATAGTCCTTAAAACTCGCGGGAGTGGGATGGCGCGTGTGCTGTCTGCCGCCAGCGCCGAGCCCTCGGCGACGCCAGCGGTGAGAATCGCCCGCGGGCTGGGAATCCGAGTCGGCCTGGATCCCAGAGCTATGGGAAAAGCCTGACTTCGGCGGAGCCCCCAGGTGTCCGAAAGGCTTGGCCCAGGACGGACCTTTCCTCGGGTTCCCATCGCCATCCGTGCGCTCGGCTGGCCTGGGACCGCGCCGGGCGCGCGCGCTCACGCACCTGCAGGTGTCCAGGGCGGGGCGCCTCCCCCCCTTCCCCGGCTTCCCCGCGACCCTCAGGGTCACGTCCTGCCCCGGGCCAAGGCGCCAGCGTTTCGTGGAGGCGGCTGCTCCGCACCGCTGGGAACCACACGTGGCAGCAGGTCAGTCTGCAGAGCTGCCTTCCTGCGGCCTCTTCAGGGGAGGGGTGGTAGGGACTTGAAAGGACACCCCACGCTACCGTCGCCAGGCTTGTCCTGTGGCCCCGGGATTGCAGGAACCGTTACCCAGCTGGGCAACGCAGAGGCCGGCGCGGGGGTCGCGGCGACCAACCTGCTTGCGCTCCCTTCCTTCTCCACGGAAGGCGGAGGCGCTGTGCAAAGCGCCATCGAACCCCACCTACCCCCGGCCTCCTCCCCATTCAACGGTGCACTGTAGTTTCAGGGTTTGGGACGTGGGGTGCCCGCCTCCCCCGCCCCCCTTTTTTCTTTGCACACCCTGAGTGTCACACTCCTGCCTTCTCTGTCCTCAGCATGGCCACCGGCCTCAGCCCGGACGATCGGCAGCCGCTGAGCCCGCTGTCTATCCAGCAGACCACGCTCCTGCTGCTCCTGTCGGTGCTGGCCGCCGTGCACGTGGGCCAGTGGCTGGTCAGGCAGCGGCGGCGGCAACCTTGCTCCTCGCCCCCGGGCCCCTTCCCGTGGCCGCTGATCGGAAACGTGGCGGATGTGGGGCCCGCGTCGCACCTGTCGTTCGCCCGTCTGGCGAAGCGCTACGGCAACGTCTTCCAGATCCGCCTGGGCAGCTGTCCGGTGGTGGTGCTGAATGGCGAGAACGCCATCCAGCAGGCCCTGGTGCAGCAGGGCGTAGCTTTCGCTGACCGGCCGCCCTTTGCCTCCTTCCATGTGGTGTCTGGCGGCCGCAGCCTGGCCTTCGGGCGTTACTCGGAGCCGTGGAAGGCGCAGAGGCGCGCGGCGTACGGCATCATGCGCGCCTTCTGCACGCGCCAGCCGCGCAGCCGCCGCGTCCTCGAGGGCCACGTGCTGGGCGAGACGCGCGAGCTGGTGGCCGTGCTGGTGCGCCGCTGTGCCGGGGGCACCTACCTGGACCCGACCAAGCCGGCGATCGTGGCGGTGGCTAACGTCATGAGCGCGGTGTGCTTCGGCTGCCGCTACCACCACGACGACGCGGAGTTCCTGGAGCTGCTCAGCCACAACGAAGAGTTCGGGCGCACGGTGGGCGCGGGCAGCCTGGTGGACGTCCTGCCCTGGCTGAAGCTCTTCCCCAACCCGGTGCGCACCACCTTCCGCGAGTTCCAGCAGCTCAACCGCAACTTCACCCACTTCGTGGTCGACAAGTTCCTGAAGCACCGTGAAAGCCTCCTGCCGGGAGCTGCTCCCAGAGACATGATGGACGCCTTCATCCTCTCAGCGGAAAAGAAGGCTGCCGAGGGCGCCGGCCGCGCTCTGTTGGACTGGGAGACAGTCCCGGCCTCGGTCACCGACATCTTCGGCGCCAGCCAGGACACTCTCTCCACGGCGCTGCTGTGGCTGCTCATCCTCCTTACCAGGTAAGGACACCGGGAACGCTTGGGTTGGGCCTTTGGCTCCTCTTTGGGGAAAGGAGTGGGGCTAGAATGCTCTGAGGTCACCGCACGGGTTGAGGTTTCGCTCCAGGTCCCCACCCCTTGAAACGGAGATCGCGCCCGGGAAAGCGACGCCCAGGATCACAGAGCTCCGAGGCTGAGACGCACGCACTCGCCACGCCTAAGAGCTGCCAAGACCTCTCTGAGTCTCCAATCTCCTCCGTCCCCTCCTCCCCCGCTGGTGAATGAGGACAAATTTGTGAGACAACCCCCCCCCCCAACCTTAGCAAGGTATTCACAATGCCCGCAGATCAGCCTTGGTCACTGTCCACTACCCAACAGAAGCAAAAACTGGAACTGTTCCAGAAAAAAAAAAAGGAGGGGGGAGAAGGAATGCAGTAAATACATTAAATAAATACAACAGGAATACAGCAATGTAATTGACACCGGGGTAAGAGGTCGCCTAGACCTGGCGCTAAAACTGTGCTGCACATCAGAGGTTTGATTCCTGGGTAAAGTAACCTGGAGTAGGTCCGCCCCCAGAGGCCTGCCCTGGGACGGGAACACGCGCGGCAGTCCCCAGAAGGCAGCCAGGACCATCATAAAATTGCGCTTGGAATGAGAGAAGGATTAAGCAACTGCAGATGCAGTTATTCTGACTGTGAAAAACAGCTAGAAGGCCTACGGGGTCTCTAGAAGGAATACAGAGTTTCTAGAAGGAATATGGGTATTTAGGAGGTATCTGTGAACCTCTGTGCCTCTAAAGTGAAGCTCTTTCAGCTGTAGCTCAAGGCTCACCTTAATGAGAACAGCGATCTCTTCTGCAGTCTAGCTCACATGGATTAAACAGGTGTGGGTATCAAGTACCAGTATAAGCAAATAGAAGGAAAATAAATTCTGTATGGAAATTTACCCTAGAGGACTAGCTTAGAGTTTGCCTGAAATTTAGAATTAACTAGTCATATTTCTGTATATTATCTGGACCCATTACCCCAGGAACAAGCATTACCCACAAGAAAAATCTCAATTGAGATTTGAAAGACCTGAACTCTCCATCGAGCTATTTCTTGGTGTGTAAGAAAGCAGTTAATGGATGCTGAATGAGCTGGTGCCCCAGGGTTTAGAAGGCAAAATCTTTTTAATTTTCTTACTGGAATCTATCCAACCTGTATTTCCTTAGATAATGTACAATTTTCACTAATTAAATGTTTTGCATTTTTCCAATCCTTCTTTTGTTATTTAGAAATCCTGTTGCCATATTTATGAGGTAGGAAAGTCAACCAGAAAGTAGAAGGCCAGGCCAGAATGGGATCAGTAGGTCTGGGATAAACATAGAGTATTCTGAAAAGCAGGCTTTCTTTTTTCTTATGGGGAAGGAACTATAAATAATTCTCCATGTATTCTATTTAGGGAGCAAAAGAAAAGAAGTTTGAGGGTCACTTTCAATTCAATAAAGCCAAAGAATATTTTTCTTAGTACTGGGTTGGTAAAGAGTAATCCCTGGTTCCGGACATACATGTTACTGAAACCATACTGTGCCCATTCACTTATGTGTTTATGGTCTATGTCTGCTTTCACTCTGCTACAGGAGGTAAGATTGAGGTGGCAAAAGGGAGGCTTTTGGCCACAAAGTCTCCAACACTGTCTGACCCTTTGTGAGGAGAAGGTTGGCAGATTTCTTAAATACAATGTTAAAGAACTGAATTTCAGAAGTCACCCACGGTTTCATCATTTCCATTGTTTTCAGAGTTACAGTAATTCTTACGTTCTTGAAAATTCATGACTGCTCTACTTACTATTACCTGTAGCAAACACTTTCCCATCTTTTAACACTGGTTTGAATAATTGGGATAATTATGTACAGATATGGGGGCTGGGAAGATGGCTCAGTGGTAGAGTGCTTGCCTTGCATGCCTGAGGCCCTAGGTTCAATTCCTCAGCACCACAAAAGCAGAAAAAGCCAGGAGTGGTGCTCAAGTGGTAGAGCACTAGTTTTGAGCTGAAGGACAGTGCCCAGGCCCAGAGTTCAGGCCCACGACTAACCAAAAAAAAAATTATGCACAGATACATGTAATCATTTCATTTCATTTCTTTTCTTTTTTCCCATTCCTGGGGCTTGAACTCTGGGCCTGGGTGATATTCTAGAGGGTTGGGACTCTGGGCTAGTGCTCTACCACTTGAGCCACAGCTCCTTGGATTTTCTTTTTGTTTCTGTAGTTTGGTCAAGATAAGAGTCTCACAGACTTTCCTGCCTGGCATGTCTTCAAACCATGATCCTTAGATCTCAGCCTCCTGAGTAGCTAGGATTACTGGTATGAGCCATCAGTATTTGGCTGGAATCATTTCTTAAACTTCAACTGTAGTCATTGATTTCATTTACATTGAAAACTTCTAGCTCCAGATGTGATGGTGCAGACTTGTGATTCTACCACTGGGAAGCTTGAGGCAGAAGGATCTCAAGTTTGAGGCTAGCCTTTGTTAGCCATGCTGTTGCATGGCTATAAACAAATATTGAAGGAGACACTATCTTTTTAAAAATATTTTTAAAGGCTACTGTTGTGTTATTGTACTGATTGATCTATTTTCTGAAAATACACTTCTAGATATGAATTACTGGGTTTAAAACAAAGGACAAAGACTTGGTAGCCTTTATAGAACTTGCTTTCTGCTGAGCTTTGTTGTCCAAAGGATTTTCAGTAGTTTCTATCAGCAACGCTGTGTAACTATTACAGCTTGTATTAGAATTAGCCTGTTAAAAGCTTTAAAATACATAGCTTATCAAGATAATAATAATACTTTATAAAGTAAGAGCAAAGCATTTGCCCAAGGAAATGAGAAGACAAGAGATCTGACTTCAGGAATGCATTTTAATGTTTGTTGGTCCTGGGTACTTTTGACTTTATAGATTTCCCAACTCTTGCATGAATTAAAATTATATTTAATGACTACATTAATATTAAGGCCTACATTAAAATTATATAAAACATTTCTACCTACAAGTTCATTTTTAATGCCTAAGGGTTTTAAAAGATACGAAACATTTTTGTGGTCTCTAAAAAGAATTGTAAGCTATAAACACTGTGTCTGCAGTGCCCAATAGACAAGTCAGTTTAGCTGTTACGATGTGTTTTTAGAATGAGAAAACTCCAGTCTAATTGTTTTCTGAGTTAGGAGAGGAAAGGGAGCTTTAGCCATATGGGGCTAATTACAAACATTGTAATTGTTGTGGGGCATAGGGACTCACTCCCATAATCCTAGCTACTCAGGAAACAGAGACTTAGAGGATTGAGGTTGGAGCTAGCCTAGGCCAAAAAGTCTGAAAAACTCCATGCCCAAAATAACCAGCAAAAAGCCTAGTTGGAAGCTTCGCTCAAGTGGTAGACTACTAGCCATGAGCATGTAAGCTGAGCAAGCACAGGGCCTAAGTTCAAGCTCTGGTACTGGCTAAAATATAAAGAAACATATATAATATGTATCAATCAATAAAATATAAATAAAATACAAAAAGAAAGATATCAAATTATATATATATGTGTGTGTGTGTGTGTGTGTGTGTGTGTGTGTGTGTGTGTGTCTATCTCAGAATTAAAAAAATAGCAACCTGTTTTAGGTACTGTTGTTTTTTTTTTTTCAGAAGTATTGAGTCATTAACCTAGACAGCCTGTACAAGGAAAAGCAGAATTAAAACAAATTGAAATGTGCTTTTAGATGAAAGAATTAACTTGGCTAACTTGTTTCGTTTTCCTTGTACATTAACTTCCAAACAGATACCCTGACGTGCAGGCTCGAGTGCAGGAGGAAGTGGATCTGGTGGTGGGAAGGGATCGCCTGCCTGGCATGGGTGACCAGCCCAATCTGCCCTACGTCATGGCCTTTATTTATGAAACCATGAGATTCTCCAGCTTTGTGCCTATCACCATCCCTCATGCCACCACTGCTAATACCTCCATCTTGGGCTACTACATACCCAAAAACACAGTGATTTTTGTTAACCAGTGGTCTGTGAATCATGATCCAGCAAAGTGGCCTAACCCAGAAGTCTTTGACCCAACTCGTTTTCTAGACAAGGATGGTTTCATCAACAAGGAGCTGACGAGCAGCGTGATGATTTTTTCAGTGGGCAGACGGCGGTGCATTGGCGAAGAGCTATCTAAAATGTTGCTGTTTCTCTTTGTCTCCATCCTGGCTCACCAGTGCAACTTCAAGGCCAACCAAGATGAGCCGTCCAAAATGGAGTTCAGTTACGGCCTAACTATTAAACCCAAGTCATTTAAAGTCCATGTGACTCTCAGAGAGTCCATGGAACTCCTGGACAGTGCTGTTCAAAAGTCACAAGCCGAGGAAGCTTGCAGTGAGAAGCCAGAGGTGAGCTAAGTTGAGAAGTTCTCCACCCTTGTTGGATGAGGGGAAAAAATTGGTTTCCCCCTTGTTTTTGCAGCTTCACTTTTAGCTTCTAATGTGCTTTAAACACCATATGGCCAGCAAATGAGGTGAGCTCTAGGTGTGAAAGCTCCTGGAAGAGGTTTAGTGTTGGAGATAAGGACCCAAGGAAGAGTGCATATTATATGCATCTATCCATACGCATATGCATTGTCTATATATGCATTGGATCCTGATACTAATAATTTATTCTGAGAGCATAATTTGGATTTAAAACATATACATGTGTACCCACATGTCCACACAACTATATGATGAAGAAATATTTCAGTGCCTTTTAAGGGAGACCTAAGATGGAATATCTGTGAACAGAAATATACGCCACAGAAAAACGGTTAAGCAAAGCCTCAGGATGCATTCTGGCTACAAAGACAAGCAGTTTCAGTGTGTGATGTGACTAAGGGTGACAGAAAAAGGTAAAGTCAGCAATTCCTTTCTTGCCATTTCAGTAAAATAGCTTAGATTGAACATAGTTATTTTTGAGTGGATTTGTTTTTTTCTACGGATGTGCCTTTCTCCTTTAGGAGGAATCATAAATCCAGTGCTCAAAAAGAAATGAGTAGTTGAATTAATAAGCATACTGAGTTTTAGAGATTTACCCTGAATTTTAGAATGTAAATTATTTAAACTGCAAAATTCCAAGCTAAAGTTGTGCCAAAGTACAGTAACAGTTATGAAAAAGAAAACAACAACAAAAAGATTCAACAATCAAGCTAAGCTTTCGTTTATGTGAGAGAAATGTATTGATTTCACTCTTTTCTGTTAGAAAGAAGCTCATATCACCAAATAGTATTCAATACATACAAGATAGCATAGGTGTTCATAAGCAGCATGTAAGTTTTAATTATTTTGTTTAGAAAATGTTGAATAAAAAAATCACACGTATAACCAGTTCAATGGGGGTGAAGTCAAAATCCATTTGCTGAACCTGGTTAAATCATCCTGTATATACAACTAGGCAGTATCACCTATTTGTGATATAATTTAAACCAAACCAAAGCAAAAATCTCTTCTCATCAAAGTTTTGGGCTATTGACAAATCTCAAAATTAGAGCAGGAGATGTATTTTTATTTTGTTATATTTTTGTCAAAATTGTATTCATACTATATATTTTTTAAATTGATGCAGTTAATATGTAGAAATTGCAAGGCCTTGGTATGCCCAAGTTTTAACTTGATTTTAATTCCATTCTGATTATTGAGTTCCACATGACGCTAGCAGAAATCTGGCTGTTGTTCTGTGGAAGGCAATACACCTAAACTTCTTTTGAGGGAAAAAATGCCATGCATTATATAAATTATATAAATGTTCTTTTGCTAGGCAACAAGAAGGGAAACATGTTATTACAGAGTAGTTTCTCTTTTAAATGATTTCTGGAAATTTAGTCTTTTTGTCTTCTCTTTCTTCCTCTCTCTCTCTCTCTTTCTTTCCTGAGGCTGGCTGCTGATCCTGAGCTCTTTTGCTCAAGGCTAGTATTTTACTGCTTAAGCCAAAGCTCCATTTCCAGTTTCTTGGTGGTTAATTGGAGAAAGTCTTGTAGACTTTCCTGCTGGGGCTGGTTTTAAACCAAGATCCTCAGATCTTAGCTTCCTGAATAGATAGGATTAAAGGCATGAACCACCAGCACTCAGCTTTAAAAAAAAATTCAGAATTGTAAAGATCCTTTTGGGAAATGTTTTAAAAATGGAACTGGAAGCCAGAGGAGATGGTTGTATATGTTTTCTTGTTAGGATAGCCACCCTGTGAACAATTTCTTTGGTAGTTGGGAAAAGAATAAAGCTTGATTAGGATACATACATTTCAATCATGCAGACAACCTGAAAACCATCTAAAAAGAGATGTCGAGTACAAAAATACAAGAGGATTTTTTACATGTTAATTTTCATTTCAACAAAATTTCCAAAAGGCAGTTCTACTGTATTCTGAGAACTTATTGTTTGGTCTATTTGAGTAAGCTTTTTGGAATTTTTGTATCAAAATTACAAAGGAGTATATGGTAGCTGTGTGTATGAGTGGGCTCGGATGAAAAAGAGAAAGAATGAAAGCAAAGACAGATCATATTCCCACTCACTTGAAGTTAATTCAATCAAAGCACAGAATTGGAATCATGAACATTTGGGGGGAAAAAGTTTAGTTTGCTAGGACTCAATATGGACTAGCTTTAAAAAATTTTAAGCAGATCTATTTCATAGTTTGGAATTATGTATTAATAAAAATTTCTTGCTAATTTTTTATTTTAAAAGTTACAATGTACTTTTTTGAATATGAAAAATTATTGTTTAAAATTATTTATTAACTATATTAATCAGGCTTCCCAATAATTTAAAGTTTTTTTAGATTCAGGCTATTCTAAAATGTTATGGTCCATCAGGGCTAAGGTAAGCAATGTCAGGCTCCCTTACTTTTACTCTAAGAGATGCAGAAGAGCAAAACCAACCATGTTCTGACCTTGATGCCTCATGAAGTCACACAGGTCCAGATAGACCACATGGACTACATGGAAGACAGGTGGGTGCTTGGAGTTTGCCTACCTTATTTATATGTTTAAAAATCTAGTAAAAGCATAGGAATTTAAAATAAAAACATATGAAAATAACCAAATTTGGAAGCTACAGCAATCAGATTACTGGCTTAATAAACAGAAAGCCTCATTTTATCTTTGCTAGAAGTAGACTATGTTTGCCGATACTATTAAACTCAGAACATCAACTTCAGATTATTGCAACAATTAAAGTATACTTTTATGAATGTCTCATTTATTAAAGCTTTGACTGTGTCAGAAAATTTTTCCCCCCAAAACATGAAAATGTCTCAGATGTGTTTTGTGGATTATCTAAATGGTTTCATGTCCCAGAACTTAGCCTTTATCTGTGAAATGTGACCATACCTTTGATGTCTCCATACTAGATCTATGTTAGATCAAATTGTTGCATAGCAATATACGTTACTTAGTTTTTAGCTGTGGTACATATACTTGATGATAAAATGTATACTTCTATAGATGATTATAACTCAGTTATAGCTTCTTATTTTGCATTTTCTTATTTTTGTACTTTATCATGTATGCCTTTAGTGTAGCAGTTACAGTACATAGTTGTAACCGAGATATATCCTGAAGACAAAACATTAACATGTAATTTTTCTTGTTCGATATATTAAATTTCAAGAAAAATATCTGTATACATGATTATCTATAATGAGGCACCATTATGCCAATAATAAAAATCATGTTCATAATTTTTGTTTCTGTTTTTTATTGTTATTATAAAGGTGATGCACAGAGGAGTTATAGTTATTAATTCAGGAAGAGAGTACACTTCTTTTGGACAATGCCACTACTATCTTCCATAGGACTACATGGTCATAGTCAGGCTAAGAGAAGGAAATACTTTCTTGGAGGGGAAATTCCTTTAAAAATCTAATGGGGGGTGTGGATCAGTTGTTGGCAGGATACATGCAACAATGTGGACGGCTCTCAAGGGAGGTGAGTAGGAGAAGTCAGCCAGAAAAGGCTGTAGGCTGTAAGATTTAGATGCTCATCTCAGAGAGGCAGAAGTTTAGTGATGGAGAGCAGGTCAGTGATTGCCGGGGTTAAAGTGGAGGGAGTTCACGAGTTAAAGAGGGTCCTGATTGTGCCAGTGGGTACAGGGATATATACTTACGTAAACCTTCATAAACTATACCAAAAAAGCAAAGAAAGCATGAAAAACAGTTAAAAGGAAGTTGTCGCAAATGAGCTTCAATGAAGCTGAATAAAGTGTGGCAGAGAGCACAGCAGCGGACAGCAGCTAGCCAAACAAGATGGATGCACTGAATGAGCAAGGTCAAGCTGGGGTATGTGCATGAGTAACACGGCCTGTGCTGAAGGCTGGAGGTGGCATGAGGTGGTGGGGAGAGGACTGTCCGATTCTCAGGGCACAGTGGGAAATAGTAGGCTTTGGGATGAGCAATCATAAAGCCCTAGGCTTCAATTTCTCCTCCAGGCATTTTAATTTTGATTGAAAAATTAAATGAATTAATTTTAATGTGCTGTAAATGCTGATCAAGCCCTGATTGGGCAAGGGGCATGGGTACAGACAATATTCTGAGTACTGGTGATGTCTAGGCCCCGAGTTCAGAGCTGATATGTAATTGAAAAGGAAACGTAAGATTTCAGTTAGTTCTAAGTGGTATAAATGTGGTATGCGTATAAATGGTGTGCATGTGTGAGTGAGTGTGTATGTTTGGGGAACTATGTAGAATAAGTCAAGAAAGCCTTTCTGAAGGGTACAACACCGGGGTGGACAGTGAGAACAAGTCAGTGTCCTCTTACACCCTCCCTGAATGAAGGCCGAGTTATCAATATCAGTGATCAATAATTAATGACTAATAGTAACTACCCACAGTAGTTATGAAAAAGCTAGTCAATTAGATTGATTTTTATGGCCACTTATAATCTGGGCAACATAAATACAATCTCAGCATATCCCTTGGCAGAAGTGGAGGACCGGTCCTTACTCTCTTGTGGCTTTTGGTTTGCCCAATGGCATTGGACAAATGACCCAGACCATTCTCTGCTGGGGATTCCTAAGTTCATTCCTTATCACATTCTCCTTGGATTACAGAGGCAGTTTCTAAAAGCGAACCAGAGAGCTAATGCAATTTTCAGCAACATCTTTAAAAATACAAGCTAGGATGGTCTGTAGTTTCTTCAACAGTATATGCACTAAGGAGCTCCAAATCAACTTCTGGATCTTCTGGAGGTATTTAATAAACTTTAGCTCTGCCCCTCCAATAAAAGTTTTACTGTATCTGGTTGAAAAGAGTTACTAGCCCAGTCTTCATGGGTTGCAGAACACAGCACAGGCAGCCTGCAGTTCATTTCTAGCATGGTGTGTGGATGGCCAGCCAGCTTCCCTTCCCGGTGATTTGCTTTATAGTCTGAATCTGCCTAGGGAAAGGAACCAGGGAACCAGGAGGCAGATTACAGTAGCTTTGCAGAGCCACACTCTGAGAGGCCAGATCTGGAGTTCTCTCTCTGCAGTGAGAGCTAGCAGGTGCTCTGGCAATACAGGACTTTCTGTGCCCCTTCTTCCTGCTCTTCCCTGGGGCTCACATTTCTCACTTGCTCCAGTTCAGCGAGGCCCAATGGCTACCTCTGTTGTCTTCCCGCCTGACCCAGCCATTGCCCTGATAATTTAAGGCTCTGCTTCTGTAATTTCCACAGCTGGCGGGGCTGCTCTGTGCTCTGCGAGAGGTTGGCTCTGGCAATGAGACTTGCGGGGGCAACACACTGCACAAGGCAGTGGAAGAGTCGGGCTAATTTTTTAACTGTGTGTTTTTAAACATGGTTTCCAGGAACCTACTGCTATAAAAAATGGCTTAACTTCCAGAGATGGCTCTGGAAACATCCACCAAAGCTTTGTTAACAAAACCAACAAAAACTGTCCGCTTTCCTCAGGGCTCCTTCAGGGCTCATTTTCTTTAGGTCAGTGTTGATGGAAGCAGGAAGATCCCGTTTAATACTTAGCCTGTTTCTCCACACTCTCTTTAAGGCCAGCAGTCTTCTCTATTTCTTCTGTCATTTCCTCTAACGTTTCTCTCTTGTGAATGCAACATAAAATTAACCATGGCTAGTGTTTGCATTCCCAGTTCAATCCCCACAACGTAAATGTAAACTCCATAGGGGTGGGATCTTTTTGTCCCACCCCCAAATGTGGCACATCCAATCAGCCTGCTGGATTTTTCTACACAGTAGCCAACTACTGGGTGATCAGATGATCTGATTACTGCTCAAATAAACAACCTACTTGTGAAACAAACTACTTGAGCTCCTTGTTTATTTATTGTTCTGGGGACAATATGATAACCACTATGGTAGGCACTATTCACCTGGGGTGGTTTAAATTTAACTTAATTGAAATTTTTAGCAGGGCGCTGGTGGTTCATGCCTGTAATCCTTAGCTACTCAGGAGGCTGAGATCTGAGGCTCTCATGGTTGGAAACCAGCCAGGGTAAGAATGTTGATGAGACTCTTATCTCCAATTAACCACCAAAAAAAAAAGAGAGAGAGAGCTGAAAGTGTAGCTGTGGCTCAAGTGGTAGAGTGCTAGCTTTGAGAGAGAGTGAAAAAAAAAAAAAACTCAGCTACAGCCCTCAGGCCCTGAGCTCAAGTCCCAAGACCATACTCCCAAAGAAAATTAATTAAATTAAATCACAAACTTCACTATTCAATTCCTAAGTGATATAAGCTGTATTTTAAGTAGCCTCATGTGGACAGTTGCAACTGTTTTTTTTTTTTTTGCATTCCACCAGAACTGTGCAGCACTATTATAAATGAAACAATTTGTCAATTTATTGGGTGTTTTGTTTTTGTTCAATTGGTAGCCATCTGTGTAGTGGCTAAGTTAGGTAACACACCAGATGGGATTTCAGACTCTACTTCCTTGACAGGTCGCTTT